GCAACCTCTGCCTCCCGGATCCAAGTGATTCTCCTGCCTCAGCCTCCCGGGTAGCTGGGATTACAGGTGCACTCTACCACACCTGGCTAACATTTTTTTGGTATTTTTAGTAGAGAAGGATTTCCCCATGTTGGTCAGGCTGGTCTCAAACTCCTGACCTCAGGTGATTCACCCGCCTTGGCCTCCCAAAGTGCTGGGATTACAGGTGTGAGCCACCGCACGTGGCCCCGAGTAGTTTTGATGTGTCCCCTGCCCAGGCCAACCCCCCACTTCTATCCAACTGGCCTCAGTGTGGGGACCACCTCGCTCCTGCTGCGCAGCTACAGACGCCTCTCCAGGAATCATGGGAACTCAGGAGACGGCGCCCTCCTGACTCGGCTTCTCAGTTCTGAAGAGAGCTTAATGGGGAGGTCCCAGGGGTGGGGGTTGCAACTGCCAAGTAGCTGAGGGCCTCAGTGTAGCCATTAGAACGGGCATTAGAACAGGCGGGCGGTCCTCCCAGGAGGAGCCGGTCCCTGCTGAGCTGCTGGGCTGGGTTTGGAGCAGCACTGGGCAGAGCTGACCCCTCCATTGCCTGGTGTGTGTGGACCTCACAGCGCGGCCTTGCTTAGTGGGAGGCTCGCTTAGTGGGAGCACGCTTTTCCTGGCAACAGAAAGGGAAACTTACGCCCCTAAAAAAGAGGCTAGAAAGGGAGACTTATGCCCCCAAGAGGAGGCTTCCTGGCTGAAATGAGTGCAGCTGGGTTCTGCGCCCCCATCTAGGACACATGTGCCACGTCACGCAGCGTGCCCTCAGGCACTTTCTCCGGACAGACTTTGGATTCCGGGTGCTGCACAATCAGACACAGTGCTAAGGACACACTCTGGCCCTGGGCAGCAGCGGGGAATGCCACGTTGTGTCCCTGCCCCTCTGGCCACCAGAGCAGGACTGGGTTTGGATGAGGAAGCTGCTCCCCAACTCCACAGGAGTAGAGGCAGCCACAGGGTATGTGCCAATCTGGATGGGGGGGGCTTGGGGGATGTCTGCATTTCTCAGAGGCTGCTTAGCTGTCCCAGGAGCAGGGCCCAGGTGGCCGGAATCCTTCTCCTCTGTACAAGAGATGCCACTGAGCCCCTTGCCTGAGGCTGGCCTGGAGTTGGAGAACAGAGGGCAGGGAGGGGTAAGGAGGGCGAGTGGCCCTGGGCTTCACACGCAGGTGAGTCTGTGCGGCTCCCTGTGGCTGTGCTCAGGGTGGGGTCTCGGTCCCTCAGACCCCAGTGGCTCAGCTCGCCAGGTCTGAGTTGGCACCACTTCTCCCCGTGCAGAGGGCAGAGGTGCGGCGATGGCGGCAGTTCCCCCAATGCCCAGTAGATGGCAGAAGCAGCCGGGCCGTGTGCCGCAGGCCTCCCCTGCCCTGTGCCCATTTCTCTGTGACTGGTGTGGCCCGAGGCCATGGAGCCACTGAAGCCTGGGTTGGGAACAGGACCCAGCAGCACAGACCGGGATCAGGCGTGGAGGGCAGAAGGCCAGGGCTCCTCCACGGTTGGTGGCCCCAGGCTCCTGGGGCCCGACACTCGGTGGTCCAGAGACGGGAACCTCCTGGCTCCACCACTGAGTCCAGAGGTGGGGACGCCAGCTGCCCAGGTCTCTTTGAAGGAAGAGCCTTAAATGTCTTCCTATGGTGAAACTTGCCAGGCACCCCCAGCCCTGCCCAGTCCTGAATGATCCTGCAGGGTGGACCGTCCCTGGGCAAGGACAAGGCCATTTTCCCTCTGTGGTCCTCACTGCTGGGAGGTGCCCCCGATGCCTGGCACTGTCCTTTGCGTTCACCAGAGGCCCGCAGTGTGGCTCCCAACTGTTCAGAGCCTCCACCTCCCTTCCCACGGCCTGGTGGCACCTGGTGGCTCCCATGCTGTAGTCGGGTCTGGCCCTGGAACGGGGCATCAGCAGGGTCTTTTCCCCACGCAGCAGGAGCCCAGGCTGAACTGCCGACGTCCTATGGTTTCCCTCGGAGGATCCAGGGGCTGTGGGCAGCCACACCCAGCCCATGTGGAGCAAGGGAGCCCGGGCCCGGGGGCTGGAGGCTGGGCCGGCCATCTTCACTGCACTTGGGCTCTGGGCACCCGGGAGCGACACCACAGACCTGTGTGTTGAGTCTGTGTTGACTGGAGAGAGGGCTGCACGTGTCCTGTGTGAAGGAGCCATCGGGCCTGTGTCTGCTGGGACCCTCCTCCGCTGAGCTGGGAAACAGGCCTGAGCAGCCACTGTACACTCAGGATGGCTGGGCCACCCACACCCTGCCCCATGGGGCCCCCAAGCAGGAGGCAGAAGAGCTGGTCCCAAGAGGCCCTGATGGCGGCACCCCCAGGGTTGGACAAGGAGATGCAGCTTTTGTGGCATGAACACGACTTCCGCTAAACGATGGAGGCACATCTGTGCTCATCTTTCCAGCTGAGACTGGGGTGATGAGGCCGTTTCTCTCCTGCAGGTGAACATGGCCTGATCCTGTCAGGCCGTAGGGAGGGGCTGCTCTGGCGCCTGTGAGTGGCATCAGGTCTGATGCAAGATCCCTGAGGCTGGCCCAACATGGGGGGGAGGGCCTGACACGGGGAGGGGGGCGGCTGGCACGGCAGAGGGTCCTCGCACAGGGGCGGGCCCCGGCACGGGGTGGGGCCCGGAACAGGGTGGGCCCAGCATGGGGTGAGCCCAGGGGCCGCCACCACTCACAGAGCAGCACCTGTGCCACTGGGAGCCCACCGGGCAGCGCCGTTCCTGCCTCGGTGCCTGCAGAGCCTGAGGCTTGGGCACCATCTAGGGCCCCAGCAGGGAGAAGCTGCCCATGCCCATGTGGGAGTCCAGGACCAGGGGGCCCCGGTCCCTCCTGTGCACCCTTTTGACCCCCAGTGACCACTTGTAGGGGGGCAGCAGTCGGGCCTGGGAGCTGCCCAGTCTCAGCTCAGCTGGGCAGAGGCCCTGGGACCTGCAGTAGCCCTGGTGCAGTGTGGCACCGGTCCCCAAGTCGCTCGGCTCCAGCACCCTGAATCCTGGACACTGCCGTGTATGCATTGAGACACCAGGGCCCTGGTACCGGATGGAGGCCAGGAAGCGCCCCGCCTCCCCTCTGCCACCCTGTGCTGGCCACGGTTCATCTGGGGCTCCGGGTGGGTGGCTGCAGCCTGGCACAGGGCGGCCGCCCGCACACCAGCCACTTACCATGACTGCCCAGTTGCACACGTTGAGCTGGGGCTGTCCAGGGACCAAGGCCTCCTGGTGCTGCTGGACAACCTGGGCGATCCTGCTGAGGACCTCCTGGTACTCGGTGCTGGCAAAGCTAGGGACGGAGAGCTCCGGTCACACAGCTGTGGCTGCAGGGCCGCACCTGGGGCTGATGGCGAAGGATGGGGAGGGCCTGGCCTGGAAAGGCTGAGGCTGCAGGGGTCTAATAGGCTGAGCACTGTAGTGGCAGTTACTGTGAGCCTCGGGCCTTGCCAGGCTGAGTCCCCGTGGATCCCCAGGCCTTACTAGGACAGGCAGCAGGCACCTGAGCTGTCCTCTGCCCCCAGACTCATGGGCAAGGTGGAAAATGAAGGCTCGGGAGGCCAAGCCCCGGCAGAGAGGCTGTGAGCACGGCTGTCCTGACCTGTCCCCACCAGGTGACCTGCCTGTGACCAGGACCTGGGGCGTGTGGGCTGGGGCCTGTGTATGGGTCTTCCCAGCACTCAATACTACATAAACACTTAAAACATGACACACACCTATTTCGTTACAAAAGCACCATCATCCCATTGCCAAATGGGAAATGGAGGAAAACCGAATCTGTGGCTGTAATTCCGATGCAAGCATGGGAAGCATTTGGATTCCTTTCCTTTTCATGAAGAAATGATTAAACAGCTCCATGAAGCGCCGTGGGGGCCACAGGGCCACATGCTGTGGGTCTAGGGTCCACGGTGCCGCCATGCAGTGCTCTGAGAGTAACTGCAGAAGTGACATCTTTTCCCCATTTCCAATCACTTCAAATATCGCCCACACCCACGTGAACAGACACCTGCCATCGCAGTCATCAGGGAGGTGCGGGAAGAACTGCCTGTCACCGGCCAGGCCTGGCCAGGAGCCACACTGCTGACGGGGATGTGGACTAGGACGGCCACTCTGCAAGGTGGTGCGGGAGCTCCTGACAAGGCTAGAGATGGGGTTGCCGGGTGAGCCAGCTGTCCCCCCGGTGGCAGCACCCATCCAGGCCCAGCACCTCCTGGGAGGAGAGCTTGGACCCACTTGAGCCCAGTCCTTCTGCCCTGGACACTCGCCAGGCTGTGAGAACTGGCTTTTTGCTCCAGAACCTTCCCTAAAAATGAGGTTTCACACAGAAGCTGCACGCACAGAGATGGGGACGTGCCCCTCCGCCCGGCCTCTCCTTGCTCCATCCACCCACTCCGTTAGGCCTCAGGCCTGAGGCTGCATCAGAGGATGACCCCCAGGAGAGCCGGGGTCCTTCAGGGTTCCCTGCCTGGTGCACCACGGAGCTGCCTGTCCTTGCCCCAGCCCGGACTACACACCACATCCGGGGGCTCAGCTCCCACCCCCCTCCTGCTGGCTGCCTGCCTGCACGGCACACTTTTAATCCAGGAGCATCTCAGGTGTGTGTGTTTGCAGGATTCTGGGGCCAAATACTCGTTTGAGAACCGGTGAGGACTGCAGCTGCCCGACCTGCCCCTCTTGACAGCGTGTCCCTGAGGCCTCGGCCTGGCTGGTTGCTTTAATCTCGTTTACTTCATTTATTTCTTAGAGACAGGATCTTGCCCTGTCACCTAGGCTCACTGTAGCCTCGACCTTCTGGGCTTAAGTGATCTTCCTGCCTCAGTCTCCTGAGTAGCTTGGACCGCAGATTGCCACGCCCCACTAAATTTATTTTCTTTTGAGATAAAGTCTTGCTCTGTTGTCCAGGCTTGTCTCAAACTCCTGGGCTCAAGCGAAATCCTCCTACCTCGGCCTCCCAAAGTTCTGGGATCACAGATGTGAGCAACCATGTCTGGCCCCATCTTCTTTTTTTTGGAGATGGAGTCTTGCTCTGTTGCCCAGGCTGGAATGCAGTGGGTTCATGCGATTCTCCTGCCTCAGCCCACTGAGTAGCTGGGATTACAGGCGCCCACCACCATATCCAATTAGTTTTTGTATTTTTAGTAGAGATGGGGTTTCACCATGTTGGCCAGGCCAGCCTGAAACTCCTGACCTTGCTGCAGCCTCCCAAAGTGATAGGTTTACAGGTGTGAGCCACAGTGTCCGACCACCCATCTTCTTGTTTAGAGAGGCTCCTGGCAAAGCCACACGTGTGTCTGTCTGAGAAGTAGCCCAGGGTGAATGAGGCCGTGTCGTCGGGGTGTGACCTCGGGGATGGTGGTTCTCAAAGGCCTGGCCAACAGCTGCCTCCTCGTGACCCCCTCGGGGAAGCTGTGAATGCTGCCTGGGATTTGCTTGAAAACCGCGCATTCTCCAGCTGTGAGGCCGGGCTGGGTGGCTGTGGTGGACAGTGGGACTGTGTCTCTGCTCTGGCCTGGCTGGGGGCTCCAGCAACGCAGCAGGTAACACCCCTGAGGACCCCGCTGTGGACAGCAGTCATGCCCAGTGGATTCGGGTGGGCACTGCCGGCACTGCCATCCAAGTTTTCATCTCGGGGGTCCCTGGGTGTGGCAGGCACACGTGTGGCTGGCAGCCTGTTGTGTGTCCCCTGGGATGGCACTTGCAGCTGAGGGATTGTGGGCTCCTCAGTGACTCCTGCAGGCACAGGGGGCTCACAGACTGCCCCTCCAGCTCCACAAGGCCCCAAGCTCCTGGCCTCCCATGGTTTGTGGTGATCACTGTCCCCCGGTGGGCCGGAGAGCTCCCGGCTCTGTCTCTGTGAGTATCCCGGCACCCCCACAACCAGGACTGGGGGCTTCAAACAACAAAACTGCAGACACCGGCCCCTCACTGCCCCAGAGGCCGGAGCATGAAACCACGGGTCTCAGGGCCACGCCCTCTGGAGGAACTGGGGCTCCTTCCTGCCTCTTCCAGCCCCGGCAGCCCCGCGTGAGCCCAAGCTTGCGGTGTTCTGTCCAGTCCCCGCCTTGCCCCCCATGGTCTTAGCCTGTGTCTGTGTCTCCTTCCTCTGGACTCAGGGCCACCTGCTCCAGGATGACCAGTGCCCACCCATGCCTTCATCACAAGGCAAAGACTCTGCTTCCCATCAGGCCAAGCTGGAGGTGTGGGTGGACCTGGGCCTGGGGACACCGCTCTGTCCACTCCAGGCTGCTTGCTGCCTTTCTGTATCACTGTCCCAGGCTTCTGAGCTGGATGCTGGTAGAAGGGGAGGTGCTGATGAGGAAGTACCCAAGGGGTCTCTGAGGGCAGTGGGAGGGGCTCGGGCCCAGGAGCCTCAGAGCAGACTCAGCCCTGTGGGAAGGAGGCTGCCCCGTCCAGGGGGTGTGCAGGAGCCTCAGGGACCTTGGCGGTGGCGCTGCCACCCTCAGTCCTGTGCTGCTCTCTGCTGCCTCCCACCAGCTTTGCTCGAAAGAGCAGGGGGCAGTCTGGGCAGGAAGCACTGCTGTGCTCAGGTCTGACTCTGCCCCCTATGGTGACCCTGATACTCCTGGGTCCTCTGCCCCACATGGTGACCCCCGATGCTCCCGGGCCCTATGCCTCTCACAGTGGCCCCTGACGCTCCTGGGTCCTCTGCCCCCCACGTCGACCCCGACGCTCCTGGGTCCTCTGCCCCCCATGTCAACCCCCGACGCTCCTGGGTCCTCTGCCCCCCATGTCAACCCCCAACGCTCCTGAGTCCTCTGCCCCCCAAGTCGACCACCGATGCTCCTGGGTCTTCCCAGGACCATCTCCATGGGGCAGGAATGCTGGAGACCACTGGGCACGCACATGCCCCAGGATGCCCAGGCCAGGAGCAGGAGTTGGGTACCTGCTCATCCTGCGGGGTTGACACAGAGAAGCCTCCATGTAGCCCCAGCCCAGGGAGATGGCTTCGGACAAGAAAAAAGGAAGCCAGGGTGGGGTCTCCAGCCAAGTGCTGGGGCCTCTGTGTCACTCCTAAGGAGCTGCCAGAGAGCATGTGGGTTTGCTATTGGCAACCGTGCCCCTCAAGACTCCTGAGGATGAGGGGAGGGCTTCCCTGAAAGCTGGCAGGCAACGGCCCAGGCTCCGGCATCCTTGGAGGGCGAGGACAAGGCCCAGGCAGCAGAGGGTGGAGCTGGGGCTGGCAGCTGCCTGCCATTCCTCCTGCTCGCTGACCTGCATCCTTGTACCTCCCGCTGGCCCCAGGGCTGGCCGGCCTCCTGGGCACGCCTCAGGCCTGGACCCCTCCCTCTGGCCTCGGCCATCCCCAGAGGCAGCTGAAAGTAGGGGGCATGTCGCTGGGGGCCAGATGGACGGTGGCCCGGAACACGCAGAAGTGGGGAAACCGCCAGGAGGGCAGGAGCGGGTGCTCCAGAGAGGAGGGCAGGCCACTAACTGAGGGTGGGAGGAGCACAGCAGGAGGGGACGCAGACATGGGAGGCGATGGGCAGGGTGCAGAGGGCTCCGTCCCTGCGGAGCCTGCATTTGGGGGAGTCCGGCTGGCACTATCCCAACATTCCGGAGGCCCTGCACCAACTCACCTGAGGGGGAACCTCTCCCCGGGGTCCCGTCCCAGGTGGAATATCAGGGGCAGCTTTGTGTGGTCTTCCAGGGTGTGAGTCGTGACCCCTGAAACATTCTGCCCAGGGCAGAAATCCATGCCCTGCAATGAGAGGACGGGGGAAGGTGGGTCCTGGAGCCCCTGACCCTTGAACCCTGACCCATGGCCACGACAGGCTTCAACTGCCTGTGTCCTGGAGCCCCTACTGGGGGCCATAGAGGGGCCCTTTTCTGCCAGTGCCTAGCAGTGACCCTGGTACTCAGCACGGCATGGGGCTCTGGCTAAATGCTGCAGGACGAGTGGGCCTGTACGTGTCCACGATCACTACAGCGTCCTGTGAAGGAGCTGAAGCCACCTGCTCTGGGTCCCTGAGCTGCTAGCTAGCATGCCTCATGTGCCCCTGGTTTTCATGTATCCTCTTCTTTGTGGGGCAGGTGAATAAAAGACCTTAACCAGCCTCACATCTGGACTGCCACTAATTTCATGGAGGAAAGCCCCTTTTAATGCCAGAAAGGGAGGGGAATGCTGGGGAGGGTCCACACTGGGAGAAGGAAGAGCCACAGTGCTAACATCCCTATGGAAACCGAGAGACAGAGAGAAGCAGGACCAACACCTGAAAAGCAGGAGAAAGCACAGACAATAGAAACAGACCCGGGGCTGAGGCGGATTCACATGCTCAGGAAGGGAGAGGATTTCACAGTAACCACAATGAACTATTCAGGAAGACAAAAGCAAAGACACAGGAAGCGGCGAGCGGGTGAAGGCTCAGGGGGCAGCAGCCACCCCACCACCATACCAGGCGGCAGAGCCAGACCTGCACAGGAGTCCCTCCCGTGCACTCCTGTAGCTGCTTGGCCCTGGTGCGACCTTCCCTGAGCATGCTGTGTGCGGCCAGTGGCCTGTGCTCTGTCCCAGGTCCTACAATGGCCCTGAGGCCCCACAGCTCTCTCTGCTGCCCGCTGGGCTCCCTCATTTGGGAAGGGGGAGGTGTGCCTCTAATATTCCCAGAGGGGATGCTGCAGGCCAAGGGGCTCGGTCCGACGACTGTGCCAGGGGCTCCGGCAGCCGGGAGACTCGGGCCACCATGTGCAGGGATCCCTTAAGCCTTGAGCCAGGGTGGGCTGGGGTGGGTACAGCTGAGCCGCTTGCCTCTGTAGCACGAATGCCTAAGCAGCCTCCTGCAGGAGGCTGTCTGATGGGCAAACCATTTCCTAGCATGTGATGTGCATCCGTGAGGATCCATGGTTGGGGCCGGGGGGTAGATCATGTTCTGCTCTTCAGTGGGGCAGGGAGGTTAGAAGCCCGTGCAATTCCGCTGATGTGCCCTGGGCTGCAGATGCCCGAGTCCACAGCTGGAAAGCAGGGGCTGCACTCAGAGGGGCTCGGGGCGGCAGTGGACACCAAAGTGCCTCCACAGTGGGTGGTGTTGTGGACTCCAGGGCATGGACAGCGTGGGGAATGGCCACACACTGCACGAAGACGCTGGCAGACAGTGGGGAAGCATCTCAGTGCAGACGATGATGTGACTGATGGCTGGGTGCAAGTCAGATAAGCAAACCCCGCTGACCAGTGCAGATTTCTCTCACTGCTGTGTTCTGAGGGGGACCTCACCCTGCGGGCACCGCAGCAGAGCCAGCATTACCCAGCACCTCTTCTTCCTCACTGAGCCGGCGCTGAGCGCCAGGTGCCGGGCATGTGCAGTGGGGTGGGTGCAGGTGGGGGCCTGGGAGGCAGGGCTGACTTAAAAAGAGTGGTAGCAGGGGAAGGGGTGAAATCCTACAGAGACGGACACTTGGAGATCTGGTCAGGAAAGGCCAAGAGGCATGCAGACCAGCCTGAACGACCCTGCTTCCCACCCTGTGGTGGCGGCAGCTGCAGTGGGACGTGCCAGCCCCTGTGCTCCAGGTAATGGCTGCATCCTCTGCACACCTGCACTTACAAGGCGCCAGTTCCCTCACACACAGCTGAGCCAGTGCAGCACAGAGGACCCGCTAGGATGTGACAGAGGACAGCGAGTGTGGCAGCCGGGGCCACCCACCGCACACATGGCTCAAGGGCCTTGGGGTGCGGAAGGGGTTCAGGTTCAGGAACCCAGGGCAGGGCCTGTGCTCTGCTGGTAGAGAAGCCAGGTACCAGGTGGGAGCAACTGGTCCAATGGCTGGGGTGGGCTGAGGGCTGGTCTGATGGCTGGGGTGGGCTGGGGGCTGGTCTGATGGCTGGGGTGGGCTGTGGGCTGACTGGACGGCTGGGGTGGGCTGGGGGCTGGTTTGATGGCTGGGGTAGGCTGGGGGCTGGCTGCCAGCAGTTGGGTCTCCAGGTGGGAGGGGGTCCTGGAGGAAGCAGAACATTGCAGGGATCAAGGTCTGAGCCTGAGGTGGGCAGAGGAGGAGCCTGGGGTGCCATGAGAAGAGGGCCTGCATCGTCTGCAGAATGCAGCAGCCGTGGTGACCTGTGAGGGCTGGTGTGCAGCCTGACCTTCCTGCCACCTAACCCGGCAGGCGCTGGCCAGGCTCCAGCTCAAAGGCCACTCTGCTGGGAGAAGGAACTCGACCCCGCCCAGCCTGGCCCCAGGACTAACACCCCATCCATGGCTGTGGTCCTCCTCACAGCATCTTGCCCTCCTCCAGACAGCCCAGAATAGAAGGTGCTGAGGACCCCGCTGGCAGAGGGCTGGGGGTGCGGGGTCTACATGGCATCGGCCAACAGAGGGATCCTAGGAGCAGTGGCCCATGGTCAGGTCACACTGAGGACTCTCCAGGCCCAGCTGGTTCTCAGGCTTAGCCTTCAGAATGGACACCAGCAAGGTCCCTTCGGGTGACGGGGACCAGGGGATGGCGGATCAGCACACAGCGCTGAGCTGTGACAACGCCAGCCTGAGCTGTCAGAGTGTGGCCGGCCCAGGATGCAGAGTGTGACCTCTGAGCAGACACCCCCATTACGTGGACCACCCAGGAGAGACCCCACTGGCCCTAGGCGGGCAGCTCCGGGGACACATGCCTGTCATTGTCTATGATGCTTGAGCTGGCTGGGCCTCACTGGCCCTTGGGAGGGAAGACAGTGGACAGGGCCAGCATTTGGAAGAAAAGCATTAGTGTTGTCACAATAGGAGGTGGCAGCAGTGGCAAAGAACCTGAGGACCTGGGGCCTCCACAGGGAAAAGCTGCGGCCCACACAGTGACTGGGCCTGGGCCTGGAGTTCCCCAGGTGAACCTGGGGTGCCTGGCTCTTTGCCACCTGGCTGTGAGTGTGGACCAGGGACCTGTTGCCAGAACCCCAGTGCCGCCCCCCCGTCACGTGGGCTCTGGGCAGACCTGCTGTGGGCTGCAGCACAGTGGCACGGGCCAGTGGCTCTCGCTTTTGCCCACGAGGCTGACATGGACTGAGGCCCGGCTGCTGGATGGTCTCCCCGGATCTGACAGCGGCAAGCAACTAACTCCAAACTATCCGACCCAAATGATGGAGGGGTGAGAACCCCGGGGCCCCCGAGGGCTTCCTGCTGGGCCTGCCCCTCCCTGGGGAGCAAATCCACGAGAGCCCTCCACCAGCTCTCGAGATCAGTATCACCAGGAGGTGACAAAACTGTCATGCACAGCTGGCAGGTGCTCACAGACAGAGATGCAGCCTCAGCTCAGCGACAGTGCCAAGGCCGAGCATGGCACTGCCCAGGAAGACAGGGGCATCGGGTGTGGAGCTGTTAGATGCTGCTCGTGTCTTCCACGAAGCCCTGGGGAGAACTGGAGAGTCCCCCCGCCGCAACCCCACACCACCAAGGGTGTTTGTCCATCATGGGCTCCCATCTGTCCCACTCAGCCACGTGACAGGAACTGGAGGTTCTCCATCATCTGTGAGGCTGCCCAGCCACCAGAGACCAAGGGTCAATGCCTCCAAGAGGACCCTGGGGCCCACAATACGGGCACGTCCATGGGGCTCTGGCCACGGGCTGGCCTGCCGAGCCGCACCTTGTGGGGTTGTGGAGCACAGGGACAACAGGTCACAGGCTTGACACCCACACAGGAAAGCAGCTTTTCCCCAGCACTGGCCATGACAGACAAAAACATCACAGGGGCCCACTTTTATCTGCTCTTAGGCTGGAAAACGTAAATTCTGATTTTTCTTTTTATGCCCAAATTATGTGTCTAGGCCCAGAAGGGTGGCTCACGCCTGTCATCCCAGCACTTTGGGAGGCCGAGGTGGGTGGATCACCTGAGGTCAGGAGTTTGAGACCAACCTGGCCAAGATGGTGAAACCCTGTCTCTACTAAAAATACAAAAATTAGCTGGGTGTGGTAGCAGACACCTGTAATCCCAGCTACTCAGGAGGCTGAGGCAGGAGAATTGCCTGAACCCTGGAGCTGGAGGCTGCAGTGAGCTGAGGTTGCACTGCACTGTAGCCTGGGCAACGGAGCAAGACTCAGTCTTAAGAAAAATTTTATGTTTAAAGTTATGTGTTTAATTGGATATACTTAAAATATCATAAAAATGCAAAGAAAGAAAACCCCAGGTTCCCTTCCTGCATTCAGCTGTGGCCCCCTTGGGCCCTCCTTGCAGACAGGCAGCTGCAGCCATGCCAGGCCCCTCCCTCTGGGCAGCTCGGTTTTCATTTCGTTTTGTTTTGTTTTTTTGTGAGACAGAATCTATCACTGGAATGCAGTGATGTGAACTTGGCTCACTGCAGCCTCTGCCTCCTGGGTTCAAATGATTCTCCTGCCTCAGTCTCAAGAGTAGCTGGGACTACAGGCACCTGCCACCATGCCCAGCTAATTTTTGTATTTTTACAAAAAGCTGAGAAACAGCTCCACTTCTCAGCCTGGGTCCTCAGTCCTCACTTCTAATCTTTAGATTTTCCCATTAAACTACATGATTTTCTTCCCAATTAAGGCACGTGAGCAAGGTATTCATATGTCAAGACTACGGTAGTGGAATTGGTGGGGCTGAGGGAGACCCCTCAGGAGGCGGTGGGGGATGCTGGAGCGTGGGGATTAGCCGGAGCCAGAGAAGACCCCAGGGAGGAAGCAGGAGGCTCAAGGTGGAGGCTCTCGGGGAGAAAGGCCAGCACCGACACTGCTGGGGGCCGGGGTGGCGGGGGCCGGGGTGGCAGGAGCCTGTGCCCACTGTATTTCCCCTCCCATGCTAAGGGCTGGTGTGGAGATGCAGATGCTGAGACCCTCAGTAGCACCTGGGCCAAGCAGACCATGCCCCTGTTAGAGAAAGTTCAGGTGTCCTGGCAGGGTGGAGAGGCCGGGGGGGGGGGCCACCTGACCAGGGTCTGTGCCACGTCTGTAGCTGTGCCTCGGGGTCCCTCCCTGGACTCCAGCCTGTCAGCTGCCAGGCCCTGGACCACGCAGAGGCGGCTGTGGAAGGTGGAGTCCTGCCTGTCTCACCCTCCTGCACCTCCCCAGGATGGCACTCAGAGGCCACGTATGGACAAGGATGGAAGCAGCTCCGCCTGCGCCCATAGCCAGAGCCTCGTACCTGCCTGAAGTTCTCCCAGGAGTTGGTCCAGGTCCAGAAGTGAGCCTTGTGCTGCCCGAGGGTGGCTGCCATCAGCGTGTCACCGCGGTAGTAGAAGACAGGCCTGTGGAACGGGAGAGGAGGACCATGTAACAGCAGGAAGGACATGCTGGGTCACCTGGGGCTCCGGGCTGTGTCCATCATCGGCTGCTCATGCCTTGGTTGATATTTTACAAAGATGACTGAAAAGCGAAAAGGCCCATGAGGTGGCCGAAGCTTGGGTCCCTGGGCGTCCCCTCATTGTGGGTGTTTGACGAGGCCAGGCCAGCCCTGGGGAGGGGGGACAGGCAAGAAGAAAGCTGGTGGCACGGGGTCCCCATCTCCGAGACCATGACAGGCCTGCAGGACAGGAACAGGGAGCGGGGAACGCAGCTGTGCATCGTCTTTTCCGCAGTGAGCAAGCACTGGGGCCAGGTCTCAAGAGGGGACAAGTGAGAAAAATCCCCCATCTCCTCCCCTAAAAGCCAGAGGTGGCATGCTGCCCTTGCAGCCGTCCCCACCTTCTGTTTACTGTTGAGCCTTTAGAATCCTCGTCCCTTCAGAGCCACCCAGGAAACGTGGTTTGAGCAGAATGGTGGCTGCTCTCGGGATAGGAAATGGACGGAAGGTAAGAGCGGGACCAGCCAGCCATGGACTCAGCAGAGGGAAGCTACAGGCAGCCATGAGGCACTGAAAACCCAGTGGGGAACAAAGCTGGGGTGGGCAGGGGCGGGTGTGTGGCTGGGGTGCAGGCAGGGATGAGGCCCCATTCCCAGCCCTGCCCCCCTCTCCCGGCCCCGCCTCTCCCGCCCCCGCCCCTTTTCCTGGCCCCACCCCCCTCCCGGCCTCTCCCCCATCTCCTGGCCTTGCCCTCCTAAGGCTTTTCTGAGAGCCAGGGCCTCGCTGTGCTTGGACACTTCCAGGATGGACCCCACCCCACAGACAGGTCCCCAGGTCCTCTCAGCACAGGCTCCCCCACCTCCTTCTGTCCTGGGCATGAGCACGCCTGTGTCCAGAAATATGAGGGTCAGCTGGGCCTGGGGTTGGGCCTGGTCAGCGGCTCTGGGCTTCGCCACTTGGATCAGGGAAGGGGCCGGGGCAGGTCTAGCACCAACCTGTCCATCAGCTGGCCCTGCAGGAGGGCGGGGAGGAGGTTGAGGCCGTCAATGGCCCTGTCGCTGGGTGGTGTCAGGCCTGCGAGGGCCAGGCTGGTGGTGAACAGGTCCATGATGCTGCCTAGCTGGTGGCTCACCTAAAACAGACATGGTGGCAGCATGCTCAAGGCACTATGCCCCGACCTGAGGGGCTGGGAGCCAGTCCCCAGGAGGGCGAGAGCCCCACTGCCCAGGTGGGTCTATAGACAGGCGCATGTGCTCACACGCCACATGTTCACACACCACACGCCACATGCCACGTGCCACATGCTCACGTACCACATGCCACACACCACACGCCACATGCCACGCGCTCACGCACCACCCGCCACACACTCACGCGCCACATGCCACACACACTCGCACCACATGCCACATGCTCACACACCACACGCTCATGGCAGGGACTGAGCAGAGTCACAAGGCCTGTGAATGGCAGGGGGGCCTTGAGCCAGGCCTGACGGGGCAGCTCCCCTCACCTTTCTCAGGCGTGCCACTGAGCACAGCTATGGGTGGCGCCTGCAGAGCTCCAGCGCCAGCCTGGCCCGGTGGGTGTTCGCTACAGTAGGAAGCCTCGTGTCTCCCAGACCTATGCAGGCCCTGAGTCTCACGTCATCGTCACGGCGTCCGTGCCTCCCAGACCCGAGCGGGCCCTGAGTCTCACATCACTGTTACAACATCCACTGAATGATGACTGGCCACTCCTGCAGGTATCTCCACACAAGGCCAAACGCCCATCCCTGACCTCGGGGTGAAGGCACTCAGGGGAGCGGAGGGGGTGGGCAGCTGCAGCCTGTCCTAGGTGCACCCCACACCATGCAAGAGCCTGTGCCTGCCACCCCTACTTCTGCACAAGGCAGTCATTGCCATGGCCGCTTTGCTTTTCAAAGGTAGCCGCAGCTGCCTGTTCCATGCACCATGGGGGTCCTTCCACCCTCAGGGACCTGGAAGCTGGGGTGGCCCAGGAGCCCCATGTCAGACAGAGACTGCCCTGGGCACAGGGTCTGAGGAGGCAGGCCCAGTCAGCTGCAGAGACCAGCTGCCCCTGGCAGGTGCCACCCCCCAGTCCCACTGGCTGCTGGGGACCCAGGGGACTGCCCAGGCATGGTGGCAGGAGGGCAGGCTCAACGGCCAGACACTTGGCAGCTGCTCCCACCTCCGGCCCTAGTAGCTGGGAGGCCCTGACAAGCGCCTGCCTCTCTGGGTTTCGGTGTCCTGATGTGTGGAATGAGTGGGGAAGAGGAGGATCTGGCAGAACAGCGGCCAATCCCTGCGCCTGCAGACGAGTGACCAACCCAGACAGTTAAAGGCGGCTGACACAATGCAGGCTGCTCATCAGCCTCGAAGCAGGGAGGCCAGCCTGGGGGAAGCGGGGGCAGGTGGGATACAGCCACAGGGTCCTTAAAAGTGGAACGGGCTGGGCGTGGTGGCTCAAGCCTGTAATCCCAGCACTTTGGGATTTGACACAGCCTTGGCCAACACAGCGAAACCTAGTCTCTACTAAAAACACAAAAATTAGCTGCGTGTGGTGGCATGTGGCTGTAGTCCCAGCTACTCGGGAGGCTGATGCAAAACTGCTTGAACCCAGGAGGTAGAGGTTGCAGGGAGCTGAGATGGTGCCACTGCACTCCAGCCCAGGCAACAGAGTAAGACTCCAACTCAAAAAAAAAAAAAAAAAAAAAAAAAAAAAAAAAAGTGGAACAGGAAAGCCAGGGACAGATGCATGCTGCTGGCTTCGAAGGCGGGAGAGCCAGGAGCTCAGGAATGGGTGGTCCTTGGGATTTGGAAAAGGCAGGGAACAGACTCTCTCCTGGAGTCTCCAGAAGGACCTGGCCCCACACACTCAGCCCAAGCCCCAGGTCGACCCTGGCTGTCGTCCTGTGTGATGTCCCAGCTGCCTCCAGAGGCATCGGGAGGGCAACAGATTGACTCAGAAACAGCGCTCGCTCACACACACACCTCAGACTCAGTGCCCCGTGTGTCTCAGGGCGTGCCTGGATCAAGTGCCCCAGTTGGAGACGACTGCATTGTGATTCTCGGCTAAGGGGCAGGTTCCTGGGCCGGGGGAAACACAGCACACAGCATGAAGGTGGTCAGGCTGAGATACCAGGAAGCACCCTCATCCAGCCAGAGCCCAGGGTCTCCAGCCCAAAAGCCCGGGCCACCACCGTGGTCTCCACCCAACAGAGCCCAGGGCACCACCCTGGTCAGACTGAGCCTGGGGGTGTGGGGGCGGTAGAGGGTGATGAGGATGAGCACAGGGTGAGTGGGGGGTGGAGGGTGGTGAGGATGAGC